ATATGCATATATATATATATATATGTATATGCTTTCGTGTACTTTCCAATGCAATGGTGATGCAAGTTGAAACCGATGGCATCGTACCGCATCGTGCGCTTTGATCGCATCAGAACTATAACGTAACGAGAATCGAAGAGGATTGCGGATCAAAAAAGCTATTTAACTAATTATATACACCCGATCGACAAAGCGATCGTTGATCAAAATAACTAATCACGATCGCTCTAATAAAATATTGCTCGAATCCTTCGATCGCTCGCATGTTAACGTCGAATTTCAACGGAAATCGCGTTGAGCGAAAAACGCATAGAGGATCATTCATGATCTTTGTTAATACGAGAGTTTTGGAGTTGCATGTGCTAAATTATACCACGCGGTTAATCGCGGAAATGTGAGTCACTTGTCAAGCGCCTCTTTACCTCGGTATTTAAGTACCAATGTATCAAACGCATTCGCTTTCACCGAGATTGATTATTAACATGGAGTACATATTCGTAGAACACCGCGAGCAAATCGTTCAACGTTTTGACGCATGAAGAAATAATCCTTTTTTATTTAGCCTTTCTGCAAGTGAAGGAATTAAATGAAGGAATCAATTTGAACGTTATACGTTATACGGATAAAAATATTTCTTTTTATATTCCTTGCGCTATTGTATTAATCGCTATTGTATTAATGTAATACTTGTTTCTATCCGCTCAATACCCGCTTTTGAACGATCTATTTTTAATGATACTCGTATTTCGATATTTCGTCATTGCCTTGCAACGTCTTACTTAAAATGCTTTTAAATTTTGGCGAAATGATCAATAATGTATACATAATGTCGTGCTGAAATACTCCTCAACCGCGAACAACTTTATTGTCCAAGTTCTCGCAGAACGTGAAAAATGAGAGACAGCTAAATTTGCCATAATAACTTTAATTATTATGTATCTCGGTTACGATCACCCATCGGGCAGCTTGCTTTCCCAGAATTTTTGAACATTCGTTCAATCATATATATATATATAGTAGTTATTTTTTCAATATTTCGCATTTCGTCTTGTCAATATGAACAAAAAATTGTCGCACGAGAATTTCCGTAGTTTTTATAAACGACCGAAGTCAATCGGTGGTGAAAGTGTTGTTGAGTGCAGCACAATTTCACGTTCGGGTCCTCGACGGTGAGGTGAATGCCTCGTCGTGAATACAAAGAAATTACGGTGTTACACACGCGCGTATCCACATCTCTGAATTGATCACAATCCATTCTATTAAAGTAGAACCTTTTTCTCAATTGGAAGGCATTGACAAATGGACGTTCTTTTAGCTTGTGTAGACGTATCGTCAAGACAGGCCTGGTGAGGTGCTGAAGTAAGGATGATGATTTTGATGGGGTTTGCTTTCAAGTAAGACGGAGGTGAAACTGTCAGTTGACAGTTGATCCCTTCTTTGCTGCTGCTTTACGCTGCAGCATCTAGATCTATCATCCATTCTATTCTACAAACGTTCTTTCATGAATTCTATGAGGCATGGTAGCTTTGCTCTTCACCCTTGCATGGCCATGCTGTTGTATAATATTATTTGACGAAGGCAGAGTGTCAGATGTATAACGGAAGCAGAAAGAGAGAGGCCCGATTGCATCGTTACGTGGACAACCTGTAACAGGTGCAGATCGACTAATGTTGATTTATTTTGAACCGAAGGTTTTGTACGGGATAATACATAGCATGGATCAGACGGTATCTTGTGATAATGAAAATTATAAGTGTGCATTAATAGTATGATCATTAATCAAAAAGCTATTTTTATTATTTCAGTACCTAATAATAATAATAAAGCGTTTCTCGCCAAGCGCGACGTTCCTCTAAATCGCGACCAATTTCGAATCAACTTTTCCTTAACGGAGAACGAAAATTTATTACAATTTTCTAATTTTTAAAGTAATATCACCTTGTAACTTCAAATTAAAATTCTATTAAAATACAGTCTGTTTGAAATTAACTCAAGAATATGATTTGCTGTTTATATTTGCAAAACGCTCTCTCTTTTCATCTTTGTGATCTCGATCACATCTTTTGTAAAGGAAAGATCGACTTAGAATTGATCAAGGAAAGTACAGTTTAAAGGAAGTACGTTTGGCGAGAAACACTTTGTATTAATGATGATAAATTATTAGATGTATAGAGTGATTGAAAGATATAAAATATGGGGAAAATAAAAATATAAAGTAGCATAATACATTAGACGTTTAAATACGTGCAATTGTTGTTTCATGTTTACAATCAATCTAAATGATGTTAATTATTATAATTAGACATTTCTCAAGTTCCGCATATAAAGATGTTGTTTATCAATCGTTTACGAATTAGTTACGAAGCAATAACTATGATTGCTAATAGATGAGGCTAAAATTTATAGAAAACGTATGAGTCATTAATCAAAGCGTTCCATCCATAAATAATACGTATTTTCGTAATTTAATTAATTAATATGATGATTTAACAATAAGTATAATATAGTAATATACGGGGGCAGAGATATTTCTTTTCGGAACGATAAATTCTCGAAAATATTTGCCAAGCCAAACGAGTATGCAATTGGGCCTGTAAGTTTCATTTAAGCTTCAGCGTGATTTCATTTTATTTCACGGTGTTTATTCCGAACAGCTATCGGCACGAGTTATTAAACACACATGACAAAATTCTACTCGGAATTGTGGTACACAAGTAACATAAATATTTAACTGTTTCTTTTCTTCCTTCTCATTAGTTATAGTAGCTTAGTCAGCAAATCTGTTATCTCAATGTTGCAAACGCTATACGGTACCTAACAGATACATCACAGAGAGACCGCGCAGGATGAGATATCTCATTCACGTTTACATATGTAAAGAACACAAAAAAAATGCATTATGGTAAATGGGACAATGTACAATTTCGAGAAGAAGTCCATATATCTTCATAAGAAATCGATAATATGTATGTTAGTGTACTTTCAATGTTTAACACACACTACTGTATACGCAACGGCCAATCTGTACGTATGCGCACCTAATACACGCGGAGGGCATGCGGAGAGCCAAAATACAACAATTGTACAACAATAACGACAAAAAAATATTATTTAAGACTGAGAAAAAAAATTGAGAAACTAAATTGTACGCACACTATAATGATTTGATGCGGATCTTACGAGAAACGAAGATATCATTTCCTTAGCAGGATACGTGTATATACATATACTTACATAGAGTATATTTTTGTAGAGTTTCTGCGATATCTCTCGGCACGACATCGCACAAGTGAAACGCGAAAGAAACTTCCGATTCTTTGTTCATTTCGAGGAGCTCGAGAATAAACGAGGAATTATATTGCATTTTCGACAATAAGCACTATTCGCACGCGTGTATAGCATGCGTGTCGGAT